ACATTATGGGCCCCGGGGCATTGCGACGATCGCCTGAGGGTCGGAGCTCTCCGGCGCGGGACTTCGAGTTAGAGCATAAGGTGGTGGATGCACTTATGAGCAGAAAATGCTAGATTACTGTATACCATTGCCTTTCATTCAATGCACAAGCATAATGGTACATTTGAGTTGTCATCTAATTTTTTTCGTCTTTGAGGCCTACATAGAAGCAAAAGGTTGACAGAGTTGCTGCCATCGATCATGGAGAGAGACACGCTGTACACTTCACGTGATCCACCTGTCGCAACCAGCATCTCGCAGTGGTCCGTGCTCTCTGCTTCGCGAACCGGAAAATCTCAATCGGGACAGTACCTTGTAGTCGCAGGTGCAGGCAGGGCCAGCGCGATTCTGTGACGGCTCGACAAGATACCATTGAATGCTGGGATAGCTTTCAGCATCAGTCGCCATGCTTTGTGGAAGTACGAGAGGCCTGTCACATATCCAAATGAGTATATTCATGCTAACATCATCATTCAGTTTCCGGGGAAGCTCCCCAAGAGCCCGTCGTGTCCAAGAAGTCTGGTAGGAAACCTTGTTTGCTGATGCCATTTCCAGTCTGTCCTGACATCCCTCTAGGAGTTGTCTACGAGAAGAGACTTATCGAACAGTACATCAACGATCACGGCACTGAACCAAGCACCGGCGAGGCTCTCACGGCCGATGATCTTCTTTCCATCCAGTCCTCGCGCGTCGTCCGCCCTCGCCCTCCTACACTAACATCAATACCCGCGCTTTTGGCGACTTTTCAAAACGAGTGGGACAATCTTGCTCTGGAAACATATAACCTGAAAGAGCAACTTGCCCGAACTAGGGAAGAATTGGCAACCGCACTTTACCAACATGACGCTGCTGTTCGCGTCATTGCGCGTTTGAGCAAAGAGAGGGACGAAGCCAGAGACTCCCTCAGCAAGGTAACAGTCACAGACGGTGCTATCAATGGCGAAGAGATGGTTGTGGATAGCGTCGAAGGTCTCCCCGAGGCACTTGCCGAGAAGGTGGATGAAGTTCATGCGTCGTATGTGCCTGACATTCGCCCTCCATGATGCTGCATTCATGCTAATAACGCGATTTCTAGCTTATCAAAGGGGCGAAAGAAGCGCCCTGTTCCCGAAGGCTGGGCTACTTCTGATGACATATCCGCATTTGATACGACTGCCTCTAGCGCGCTACCCGTATCGGAAACGACTTCCATCGATCTCGAAGGAGGATATGCCGCTCTAGGTGGTCTCAAAGGCGAGGCTGCTATTTATTCTATTGAAGCAGACAAGCTGGAAAGGCAGCTGCCCATCAATGAGGCGGTCACAAATACCTTGTGGACTGGACCAAAGCTCTTCTTTGCTACCAGCCAGGGCAACGTCAAAGTGTACGAAGGAGGCAATGAAGTTGCTTCAGTTTCCGAGCATTCTGGGCCTGTCACTGGTCTCAGTGTTCACCCTGGGGCGGATATTCTTGGCTCCGTGGGCACCGACAAAAGCATCGTGTTCTATGATTTGGCCACCATGAAGCGCGCTAGCCGTGCATTTGCGGATGCCTGTAAGTTCTGTCATTTCTACTATCTCAATAGCTCCCTGGCTCATAGTTGACTGACTGCGCTAGCTCTGACCACATGCGCATTCCACCCTGATGGACATCTCTTCGCTGCAGGGACTGTCAGTGGAGATATCAAGCTCTACATGACCAAGAACTTGGACCAAGCTGCCATATTCAAGCTTGGTGCCCCCGTTCAGGCCCTTGTCTTTTCCGAGAACGGTTTCTGGCTGGCCGCTACTGCCAAGGGCCAGACGACTGTCACAATCTTTGATCTGCGCAAGGAGGGAGATGCGGCAACCGCCAAGGTCCTAGAGACTGGTGGATCGGTACAGTCTTTGGCTTGGGATTACACTGGCCAATACCTGGCAACTGGCGGTGCATCTGGCGTGACGGTTCAACAGTACACCAAGTCGAGCAAGAAGTGGAGTGAACCATTCAGAAATTCTACTCCGGCTGTTGGCGTTAGATGGGGAGAGTCTGCGAGAAAGCTCGTGGCAGTTAATGGAGAAGGGGTGGTGAGTGTATTCGGCGTCAAAGAATAAAGCACGGAATTTGGGCAAGAGACCATTTTGCTGGTTGATATCACGGTCTACATGTTTTCAAACAAGGAAAAAATGGGCAGGGGGCGAAAGTCGAGTTCAAATAGTTGTATACCTACAGTAACCTACTTGTCTCTGGTCTTATAAATGGTACAATGGAGACAATTAACTAATTTGCTTCTTCTTCATTTGGACACGATGACAGATCATGTCATGCACTTGATCTATTGTCTTTTTGACCTCGGACTGGCATGATGGAGAGAAATTGTAGGCGTTTGCAGGCAACGAACGGCATGGCATCCAGTTTCAACATTTCGAAGCCGGAGCTTGATCCGACATCATTGTCGGTGCGTAGCCCGGGATAAGATGATTTGACGGGTCGACATCTGGTTGGTGGCAAATGTACAGATTCTATGTAGCACCACCAACTCCACATGCATTCACAAAGGCACAGGTGCCATTTCAGTGGAGCATGACCATTGAGGCGCCAGTCAGAGGTGAGTTGACGTCTGGAAGGCTAAGATTGACTTCGATGTACCGAGTACCAGTACCCGGAGTGATGTCGGATGCCAGACTCCAGTTGACCACATGCATCCGGGCGTCCGCCGCTGCTGGGCAGCCAAGCAGCCTCAACACTCAAGTGCTGTGCTTGCGGTCAACTGCTAAGACTCTGGAGGGGCAATCGACACTCGACCCGTCTCGGACACACAACACGCCATCGGCGGCAAACACCATTCGACATCCTCACCTGTTTATACTTTGGCGAACACATCCTTCTCCTACCGCCGAGGCGATTATACATCACACTGGCATCTATCATCTACCTCGATCACGCATTAGGCGATCTGGCGTGGCCTTCACCCCAGAGTCCTTTGGCTGATTACCAACCTGCGGCGCCGTCCTGAAAGTGTCTCTCCCGAACGCCGGACTTTTGTGGCCTGGCGTTCCAATCTTGTTTGCCACCGACTGAACATTGAACGCGACAAGCCGAGTGCAGCCTGCACAGAGCGGACCGGCCGAGCGAAGCGGATGCTAATATAACACGGTTCATTTTCTCGCGGAGCCAAGCCGACAGCCACAGCTGTGTGTGTCCTTCCACAGCAACATATCGCACAGTTATTCCGACCACACGGACGTTGTTGCACCCTCGAAATGACGCAAGTCGGGGATGCAGGGCTCGACTTCACGGGCGAGGATGATCTCATCGAGATTCATTCGTCTCCCCCGACCCGATCCTATAATCCCCTCGAAAACTTGCTAAATCCTCTGCAGCCGATTCCAGCCCAACCTGTGAGATTACGCCCTGGTCGAAGGAGTGACCGCCATCCACCACCTCTTGGCCCGATGTCTCGACAACCGTCGCAGCCGCAGCAAATGCAGAGTACAGAATTCATTGATCTGACGGAAGAGCCAGATTCGCCTGTTGAGACACGGCATTCGCAACCACCAAGTCAAATAGGAAGGAACCCGAGGCGGACAAACTCACAACGAACAACACCGCCTTCCCTGTCCAGAAGTGACAGTACTTTCATGGGAACCGGGGCTAGCGTTATCGATCTGACGGTTGATTCACCAGAAGATGATCGTGCTCCAGAGCCCAGAGTGACTAGGAGTCAGCGGCACCACCACCACCATCATCACCACCATCATCATCATCGAACACGAAATTTTAGACAGGATCAATTAATTGAATTGGAGTTTATAAACGCCAACAGTGGCAGTATTTACTCCAACCTTTCGAATAATGTTCGTCGAATAGCGGGTCTTTTGGGCGGCAGCTTCATGTCTCGAGGTTTCACGGCAACCCCAATCGAGTTTCCGCCCAATTTTGCCGCCAGAGAGCCGAGCCCCAAACCGCCAATGGAACCGGTTCCACCAACACGCAATGGATTCACTCGAGACACCTCGTTGGCAGATGAGAGGGTGGTTATATGCCCAGCGTGCGGAGATGAACTCGCATACGACCCAACAGGAACGGCACCGCAACAAGGCTCAGCCTCTACGAGCGGCAAGAAGAGAAAACGAGCACCTGGTGAACACCACTTCTGGGCCCTAAAAAAATGTGGACATGTAAGCATAATGAGCTGCAAACACTACGATCAAGTCGGAACGTGCACTAACTGTGAGAAAGGTTTACTGCGCGGATTGCTTTGAGAATCGGAGACCGACCAAGGCCAATCCTCTGGGCGTTGGGTTTCGGGCGCCATCAGGGAAAACACCCGGCAACGCACCAAACGACATCCGATGCGCTGTGGAGAGCTGCGATTCAAAGGTTGCTCTCAAGACGGAATGGGTGGGCATCTATTTGTGAAGGAAACCTGTACAACAACAAAACAATCCACGAATTCTCCGGTCAAGCCAGCGGGGCCTTGTGCCCGTGTTTGGCTGCAAGACAGACGGTGCACACTTGATGATGAACTTGACATATCATGGCATGGCATGGCATGGCGGAGCGGGTTTTAGACACTGGCGTTTTAGGTCTGTGAAACTCTTGTAGCATGTTATGAGGGAGATGATACCACAATTTACGGAGCTTCCGACGAATGGTTTCTCTAGTCGTTTTTTTCTTTGCTTGTTTTTTTTTTTTTTTGGAACAAAGGGTCACTGTAGCGGCGGCGCTGGGGGTTTATCTTGAATCAGCTGAGATTTTGCAAGAATACACTTTGAAGTGGCTGCGCAATATGTGGCAGGCGAGGTGCTTTTTTTTCTCTTGCACCGAATATTGAGTAATTCATGTGTCTGGGTATCTTTATGCACTGACTATCCTATGCCCCCCGACGTGGTGATGACGACAAACCGGTACGTATTCACCCCCCCCAATAACTATGTCCCATGGTATCATGTGCTGTTCTATTCCTGAGTAATTCGTCATGCTTGCGTCCTGTTATAACCCTAAATGATGAAATCTAACGCCAGGTCGTCCATCCAATCACCTCCATATTCCGTCTCTTGTGAGCCACTCATACCGCATATGCATATATTCTCCTTGTCCTCTTCGAATGAAGGACTTTGTTTTGTGATGCTGTCGACACGCTCCAGCGGCAAGGCTGTATTTATTTTTGAATAGCCGGGTCGTTTACAGGATGCCGTTTCCTTGGTATGATGCGCCTGCGCGATTTCTTGGTCCTTTAGTTGCTCTACCGCTGCGGTGCGTTTACTCCGCTGTATGGCTAGGGACACGATTTCGTCTGAGCCGGATGGTGTGAAGAATCGCTTGGGTGGCGGCGGTGCTTGATCTTGCTGCTGCGGAGCTGGGGATTCCATGTCGCTGAGCCAGTCGTCGGGCATGGCGTCGAGGGACTCGTCTTGGAGCTCGAGTGCCTGCTGGGATGATGAAGGGAAGAAATCGTCCAGGTTGCCGAGGATGGCTTGTGTGCTCATTGGCGGTTGCTGGACGACTGGCGGCGGCGAGTGGACAGGCCTCTGTGGTTTCGCTTGATACGGGCGAGGGGGAGGCTTCATTTCTCCCAGGGGCCTGGGGGGGTCTTTTGGCCTCCGACTTGGCTGTTTGTGAGGAGGCGGTGTCGTCGGTGGGTTGTCTTGTTCCAGAGCATGGTTCTCTGGCGGTTGTGCGTCCTCCTCCATGTTGGCTCCCTTTTGCGCAGTCCCTTTGCTTGTACTATTCGTTATCGTGTCCAAAATCTCCGCCAGTTCGCTGTCGTCTTCTTCCGGTATTAAATCCAGCTCGGGTCTGTCGTGATTCAAGCTGTGCGCCTGCTCCTGTCCGGTTTCCTTATCCTCCACGTCATCACCCCCTTTCCCAGCTTCCTCCAGAGTCCCGCCCCCGGAATCCCTCTTCTTCCCAGAGCCGTTGCCTCTGACAAATCTCGCAATCGTACTTTGGCTGGGGCGCACGTCCACCAGCGGCATGCCGAGCTTTTTCTTGTGCTCCCGCTCGGCCAACTCCTTCTCGCGCTTCTTTTCTCGCGTGATTTTGGCTTTTGCCGCGGCCTTTTCCCTTTCGAATTCTTTCCGTATCCTCTCCTGCTCGGCTCTCTCTTGCTTTAAGCGTTCAGCGCGGGACATGGGCGGGGTCTTTGTTGATGCCTTGTAGGCCTTGCGCACTTGTTTTGTCGTCATGGGCCGAACATGTTGGGCTGGCTGGGGGGCGGGGGCATTTGGGATAATCGTGAATGTCCTTTGCATGGGCATGGCGCAGGTAGTGGCTGGCGACGTAAGACGCGTCGACGTTCCATTGATGGCGTGTTGTGCGTGAATGTCGAAGCTCGTGAAGTTTGAGACTGATGTCGGTCCAGCGGCGGCGCGTATGTACAGGCGAACAGGTAGTGGGGCCACCACGCCAAGAGCGATCAATAGTGGACTGTGGCATCTTGTCAATTAAAGCCAGGCGCTCTGCCACTTTTAGGGTCAAGCAACTCAACTTCAACGTCGCACAAGTATGCACACACGGCCAGAACAAAGGGCAACAAGTCGCCGTCGTGCATCATCTCTCTGCGGAGCAAAGTTCGAACAGACTACTACGTAATTGCATGCCTCATTGAGCGCAGTTTTGCTTTTTAATTTTAAATTATGCCCAGGCCCTGTCGTCACCTGTCGTTGGCTGGTCCATAGAGTATCACCGCAAATACACACAATCATTGACCAGCAATTGACCATGCACCAAAATCACCGCCACTGGCATCAATTACCACTCTTCTATGGAAGCTATTCTGCAAGTGGTAATATGCTGGTGTAGAGTTTGGCCAGGAGAAAAGACCCAGCAGGATTGGGCGCCAACTCCCAACAGGAGCTCCCTCCCGGAACATCGCCACACCACACCAGCATCACCATAGTCTTTACCATGTTAATTATGACTTGCAGAAACAGTCAAATACCTCGCCGATCCGGGAAGCGGAGTCTGTGCCACCAAATGGTCCCTTACCGGCTTTCCAGCCGCGCCCCGGGTGATGTGCTCGCAAAACACGACAGCACCCGTTGGGCTTTTATGTCGGTTCAATTTCGTCGCAATATAATCAACCACCTCCTGCGCCGTCAAGTCCTTGCTGCGAACAACATATGCCATACACTCCACCGCGTCATCGTCATCTCGGGCAGGCGTTGAGCAAACCACAGCGTCCGCAATTCCAGGGTGCAGCATCAGCTGCTCGGCGACCTCGCTGGGCGAAATCTGTACAGAATTCACCTTGAAGATCTCTTTGTAACGGCCAGTCAAGGCAATTTGGCCGTTTCTCACGTCCAAACTTCCCTTATCCCCAGTTCTGAACCAGCTTTCACCGGGCAGAAAAGCAGACTTCGAAGCTTCTGGGTTCTTGCAGTACCCATCGAAGACATATGCGCTGCGCACGCAGATTTCACCTTCGATCCCGGGGACGAGAGGCTCCAACGTCTCGGGGTCGATGACCCTACCAACAACTGCTTCAGCATCAGCTCTTGTGTATAATGAGGGGAACGAACTTACTTCACTTGGACATCCTCCATAGGCGAACCGACATATCCGGGTGTCCAATCCTGCGCGATACTAGCGAACCAACTTTCTGTCGAGCCATAGACAGGCCGTAAGTGTGCTTCCCTTGGCAACAGATCTTTGAGGGCTTCAAGCACTGGTGTCCCACAGAATGATCCGCCGAACGTGACGTAGCGAAGTGACTGGAGAGTGTCCCGAGGCCGAACCCCATCAAGTATTGCAGCCGTCAACTTCTTAATCAATACAGTTGGGAATAAGACTGCGTCAATTCCATAAACTTGCATCTTATCAAGGATAGTAGCCGGATCGTTGTCGACCCTGGAAACGTACGCCGTCAACATGCCTGCACAAGCACGGTTACAGACTGTTTGTCCCGAGAGGTGGTAAATGCCAGTTATCTGAAGGACTTTCGACCCGAGTGGCAACACCGCATGACCTGAATCAAGCCGCGCAACCTGAGTGGCATGAGATATTTCGGCCGCCTTATTCTTGCCCGTTGTTCCACTGGTAAACAGTCGAATAGCTGCCAAGGTCCTTGGATCCTGGCCGTTGTACGGGTTGCGCCAGACGGTCTCGTCGGCTTCCATCAGTTTGCTCAAACTTAGTTTAGGGCCGTTGTACGGATCAAGCCCAGGTGGATCGAAAACCAATATTCGGGATGTGTCCATGGCCAACGTTTCTGCAGTCGCCAGTGCCAGCTCTATGAGCTCGGGCGAGGCAAACAACCACTTCACGTCTCCTGAAGTAATGCAATTTGCCAGATCTGCCTCTTTAACAAATCCTGGAATAGGAACAAACACTGCTCCTGCTGCAATGGCGCCGTCACCAAGGACGTGAAAGTATATGTCGTTGGGACTAAGAAGCCCTACTCCATCTCGGTCGGCTACACCCGCTTCACGCAGCCCTACGGCTACACGTTTGACGGAAACCGAGTACTCCTGCCATGAGAGGGTTCGCCCCGGGCGATCGGCGTCGACCATAATCTTGATAGATGTCAGCTTGTATTTTATCGGGTTCGCGGCGTGGGGGTGTTACCGAGCAGTGAACATCCTGCGGTGGATTAGAGAGCATACGCGTGATGTAGTCCATTTTGACAGATGTGAAAGCCGGTCCTTGGAAGAGGGTAAAATCTCGCAGATGTGTGGGCAGTAAAAATGGGAGGAGAACATACGAAGCATGTGCAACAGCAAGTCGCCTGATGCGGATTCCCTGAGGCGGCGCAAGGTGCCAATGCATAAGAAAAATGCAACCGCCATGAGGGGCTTATTGAAGCATGTTCAAATGGGCTCCTAGAGTTATGAACAAGAACGAATAGAAACACAGTTCAATAGACTACTTGTTCGGGACTTGGTGAAGCAAAATGCACCAACGCACCAACGCTCATCCACTACTCATGAATTACAGGGAAAAGCCGCTATTAGGAGATTTATCAACTTTGACCTATGCACCCTACTCATGTTTGAATATATGGGACGAGTAGTGGCACAGGGAGCTACAGTATAAGTGCATATGCAAGATCGCCCGCCGCACCAAGATCGGTCAAGCTGTAATTTGGCTAAACGGGTAACTTACTGATGGCGGGTGTTGTACATTGACATGCTACCTTAACCAAACACACACCGGCTCTATTGGATGTCATGAATAGAATCCAGTTCATAAACATGGTCCAATGAGACCAATATGTGAAACCACGCCTCCGCCCTTGTTTATGGGAACCCTATTCCCCAACTCCAGCAGTCTACTTGTCAATAGGCTCAACCGTCGGGTCCCAAGCACAAGGGCTATAGTCCCGGGTAGCCAAGCCCTCCACCTCGTCGTCGGTCAGCTCGAAATCGAAAACGGCCGCATTCTCCGCGATGCGGGACGGCGTCACGCTCTTGACCAGCGGCACATAGCCCCTCTGCAGGCTCCAGCGCAGCAGAACCTGAGCCTCGGTCTTGCCGTACTTGTCCGCCAGCGCCTTCACCCCGGGCTCCCCCCAGCGCTCCCCGCGCACAATGGGGCAATAGGCCTGCACCGCGATGTTCCTCTCCTCGCACCAGGCCACGATGTCGGAGCGCGTCAGCCAGGGGTGTACCTCCCACTGCCCGACGGAGATGACACCGCCCCTGCCCGGCCCGTTGCGCTCCTGCTCGAGCTTCTTGATGTAGGCCTCCAGCTCGTCGAGGTGGTGGACGCCGTAGTTGGACACGCCGATGGACCGGATCTTGCCGGCCTCGACGAGCTCGACGAGGGCTCTCCAGGCCCCGAGGCGGTTCTCGGTGCCCCCGTAGGGGGAGTGGATGAGCACGAGGTCCAGGTAGTCCAGGCCCGTGTCCCGGAGGGCAGTGTCGACCAGCGCGTGCGTGTTGTCGTAGGACAGGGGCTTGCCGCTCATGGGCACCTTGGTCGTGAAGAAGACCTCGGACCGCGGGATGCCTGAGGCGGCGATTGCCTTTGCAGAGGGCCCTTGGTTGCGGTAGGCGGACGCGGAGTCAATCTTTTCCCCCCGTCGCGGTTTAGAAAATGTCTGGAAATTGCGTCGTTGTCAGATGCTTTGGCTGGACTCACGTGGCGGTATCCAAGGCGGAGAGCTTGAGCGCACACATCGGTAGCAATCTCCTTTGGCCTGCGTGTCGTGTGTCAGCAAGACGCGCAAAATCAAGACTTGAATCTCATATTTCGTACGTTTGATAGACCTTGCGGGGGACGGTTAGTAATGTGCGTCTACGGGCATGGAGATGTGAAAACGTACACCAAAGCCGAGGACGGGGAGAGTGTAACCCGAGTTGAGCTTGATGGTCGAGTCGAGGGTCAATTTGGACGCCATGACGCGTGGGATGGGGCCGAGTGAGCCACGACGTTTGGGAGGAGCTGGGACTGAATGAGAGTTGTTGACGGCTTTTATATAATACTCGCGAGATTGGACCCTTGAGCGAGAATAAAGAACGAATTTGGTTGACGGATCCAATTGACAACAAGAGCTGATTAATGCCGTTATGTCCACGGACACGGCGAAGGTGGGGCACGCAGCAAAGGTCATTGAATTGTCGCCAATAGATGGGATGGACTATTTGCCGCATGGGTTTCACCATTTTACTTCATTTCTCGTTACCAGTCTATATAACGCTGTCTAGCATGCCGTAGTCATCCTCATGGTTTCGTTCGGGCACAACCGCCTGGGGCTCCTCCTCGTCCTCCCCGTCATCATCCAAATCCATCATGGGATAATTCAAGGTAGCCGCAATATCGCCCATCATTTTCAGCCTCTGCCCGCTCTCATGGTCGCTGCTTAATATCCGTGCTTCCCCTCCGTCATTCTTCACCTTGTCAACCAACGCCACGTACTTTTTGCGTGTTGCCAAGTCCTGGCTTCGAAATAGTGAGTTGTTAACGAGCAGAACGCCGCCGCCAGGACCAACTGCCCCGTCGGCAACTGCCTTTTCTACCGCTTTTGTGCCGTACCATGCTCGTCCGTCGTCCATTTTCAATAGATCAAAAAAATTGTCAATATATTGTGCCTCCTTGATGTAGCTCATGTCCTTCATTTTTGCTATTACTTCGGGGCTCTTGAGGACTTCATTCAGACTGTAAACGTGCCCAGAATTGGCGTGAATAACCGTAGCTTGCTTGGAAATGGCGGTCAGCACCTTGTCCGACTTGTCTCGACCTCGCTTTGCAATGAATTCTTTGAAATCCTGGGCCACGAAGCCAGGACTTGCTAGCAGGAGTGGCCGTGAGTCTGAAAAGTCGACGGCTCGGAGGAGTGAGGACAGAGTCTTCTCGAAGAATCGTTTGAGGCCGGCATCCTGATCCGCAGCAGTATCGCGCTTCTTGGGGACAACACTCTCTACGCGAGTCTTGACAACGGTCCGGAACTGAGTTATGAGGCAGATGTTTGCTAGCCCTTCTTGCATGACTACCGCTGCCATAGCTCCGTTCTTGTCATCGGAAAGCGCTTGTGACAGGGTGGCTTTGGAAACGGAATCCCAACCATCGGGCTTGATGACGGTAAAGGATCGGTTTACTTCGATATCGAGTGTGTGATGTGATCCCATGGGAACATGGTCGTTTTCGGATGCGACGACGCCAGAGACTCGCAGGGAGGATATGACAGGATCGAAGAAGGTCGACTTGACCTTGACCGTCAGGTCTGTGTGGACTCGTTCGGCGGCTGCTGCGCCAGTGCCGGAGTTGACTGTAACAACTTTCCGTAGCGCATGGGCGTGTACTAGATCGCCAGGGATAATGAGGTTGTAGGCATGCCACTATTCTCAGCATGTTAGATTCCAGGCTCACGATGGTGTTGAGGACACAACTGGGGGATCAGAACATACCATGTCCTCAGGGTCCTCTGGCAGCAGAGAAACCTGGTCTTCCTCCACATCCTTGAGGACTCTTTTGTCAATCAACTTCATCCTTATTGACAAGCTATGAAATATAGGATATATAGGCGAAGGGAATTTTGCAACGAGAGAAGCTTGGTGTTTGGTGAGTTGCTCCCAATGTCACCTATATTTTGTACCCAAGGTGGAACCGTAGTTTGCGGTGACGGCAGTTTCTGAAGTTTGTAGTGGGGGTGGCGCTGTGGCGGGAGCCTGACCACATGAGACTTGTGGCTGCAAAGTCACGGTGAGAGCCAATGTCACCAGATCCTGATGGGCTCTCAACCGGAAGCCTGTCTGTCAGCCCATTCAAGACCATCAAACAATTACCTTGTAGTAGCGCTGCTGTAGCTGCTCATCTGTGCTCTTCATCATATGCAACAGTTAAATCTCAATCAAGTATATGTTTGCCGATTAAGTTTCGAGGATGTCGCATTCCGGCACGAGTTTCTCCGATTGGGGAGCCCTGACGCAGGTCTGGACCTGGAGCCTCAACTTGGTAGCAATCATCAACCCTTTGAAGATTTTGTTCAAATTGTGAAGTGCAGCCGCGCCCGACTTGGCCCTGCGAGCAAAGTAGGGCCTGGCATGGTATGGTGTCTCCGTAGTTGCTTGCTCGAGTCGAATACGCGTAATGCTGGACAGGTTTCAGGTTTTTACACGCCGGTTCCTTTGGCCCCCATATTCTCCATGACTTTTGTGCCGATGCTCAAGGAGGTTGGATGAGTAGTCATCATGTTACACCACGTACCAAGTTGCTAGGCCACTGCAGGAGCCTTCCTGGCGGGTTGATTATTGAGCCCTATTTCACTGAGACAGGATGTTCCTTTCGCTTTGCAATCGTGAGCATCTTGTCGCAGTCCCACGTGGGAGACAGACATCTGGCCGCAAGTCATGCTCGCCTGGTGGACCGAGGCCACAGACCCCAACCAATAAACTCATAATTAGCAACTTTTTCGACTCTCCGGAGGACGGACTTCAGCCTCAATCCCGATGTCCGCCAAACCGCCGCTTACCCTTGCGCTGAGGACACTCCACTAAATGACGGGTGGCGCCCAGGGTCTACGTGCTTCGAAGGCGTCACTTCCTGACTGTTGCCGTTCCTTGGTGGAGGATTGAGGTGCTAGTTCTCCGTAAAAGTGAACAAAACCTGCTGATCATGCCGTGACCATCCAAATCTAGAAATTGTCCGGCAGAGGATTAAGTCATGGAATCCTTGGAAGGAAGCCGTCATTAATAGCGCGTAACTTTCTCCTAGCTCTCTCCGTTCTTGTACTCCGTACCGATTGGCAACAAGCGATGTCCCAGTATATTCCATCATAGCTGGGCAGTTTGTCGTCCGGTTGCTGCAACTTCTGGAGTGGTTGGCAAGGCTTCGCGGAGATTAATAAATCTGCAAGCGTCATGAAGTGCATGGTATATTTGCTGAGAATGAAATCTGATGCACCCTACTCTGAACTCGCCGGCATTCAAAGAAGCGAGGCGGCAACCCTCGTGCGTAATTTCTTGATGCCAGCCCAGTTCTGGAACGAAATTGTGAAGGATGCACGATCAGCCGAATCGCAGTTCCCCAGGCCCACATGGAAAGACCCAGCGATGGCATTGGAGGCCAGTAAGGATGTTGTCGCATGCCACTGTAATAATATACCGTTCCTTTTCGGCTGCTGTCAGAAGTGAGGCGTGCATTCTTCAAAATCCCGCGAGCCAAGACGGACCAAGCAAGAATGCCAGTACGCGTGAGGCGACCCACGGCGAAGGGGGAAACGCCAGTGTGTACATACAATCGAGCTTGGTTCTCTCGCTTTAGCCCCGCTAGATGTGGCCAAAAGGAGTCGTCGTCCCGGGCTTTGGGCTGGAGGCTGAAGGCTACAGTGCCGGATTGGCGCGTCGCGTGTGTATCATGAACAAGATGGCGAATGGTAAGGGTGGTGTATGGTAAGCCAAGGCAGCATCAGTAACACCAATGGCAGCCACCAGCCATCGTTGATGACCGTCCCGAGCTACCAATGGCGGGTTGGCTGTAGGCTCATCTGCATCATCTGCCACGATATCTCGGGTCGGCGTCAGCACAGTCCGGGCTGGTGCAGGGCCAAGAGGGCTTCGACTCCGGCTTCGCCGCCCTGGTCGCTGTACGTTGCAAGGTGCAACGCTGGGACAGGGAGGCAAGGGGGGTGCTGTACTCCGTAGTGCACGGAGGATGCAGTCTTCCATGATATCACACGATCTGCGGAGTACCGTGCCGCGTGTGGCAGATGGTCGCCCCCGGATCAGCGGTTTTCGGTGCTCTCCAAGGTTATGCGTCCGCCACACCAGGTTCGTGGGCCGCCCGTAGCTAAACAAGGAAAGCAATCGTTAGTTGCTGAGCAGACCGTCAATGCCGCAGGCACGCAGACATTGGCTATTGCTTACTGGCGTATTTCGTTCGTAACTTGGTCATCTTGGGCCGTGTTTTGTGGGTGCGGATTGGCGGTCCTCGTGACGGGCAAAAAGCTAAAATAGCTACGGCTTCCCGTCCTTGAGCTCCCATCTTACCGCCAGCCCTACAGACTAACGCGAGCCATTTTACCTTGACAACCTCCCCCAAGTTCATTTTGTTCGACATCGACTGCCACCGGATGGGCCGGGGCGGATTTTGAGGACTGCCACTACTCTGGAGTATTTGGGCTTCTCCCTGGAATCTCGCATACCCACGCCTCGCGGAGCTTGACGATTTGCGACGAACGTGATTCCCAGCCACAACTAAGTCTAGCGTTTAGGTTGTCGACTCCGACGACCAGGCTGTCGACGCGACCGGCCGCTTTTGCGGAGTACCGGGACCTTAATCCAGGACAGAAGCTCTTGAACTAGCTTCTGGCCCTTTTTCACAAAACCCTTTTTGCAGCATGGACAATGGCGACTCACCTATCCTCGCCTGCCATCTCGGGCGATGGGGAGGCCACCTCGAGCAGAGTCGGTGAGGTTGTTCCCGACTCGGCCCCTGGGACCTCCGGACTATCCGATCCTTCAGGTACGGTAATTGCAATTGTCCGTTGTGCGGACATCGGGTTGAGGAGACCGCACCAACACCCCGAAATGAGACCATGTGATGGGGAATCACAGTTGAGTACCTTGTTCGTTCTGGGCTCACATATCAATAATACAGGAACAAATCACCATGGCCTATCACCGCCTACCCCACTGAATCGTCCCTCGAATTCTCGACTGCCGCGGACCAATACGTCTCAAAATGCCAGGGACAAGGAACAAAAGCCACTGTCTAAGACCCCATCTGGCACAAACTCGGCCGGCGTTGGGCTGGATCCATTGAGCACAGTAAGTTTCGCCCGACATTTGCCGTCCAATTTTGAATATCCCAAGACGGTCTTACTGACTTAACTCGTCTTATGGCACCAGCAAATATTTTTGCGGGCTAATAGCAACGCCGAGCCCACCATTGCTCAGCGAT